GAAGACGAAGAGCTCTGAGCTCCCACAAGGCAAGGTCTGGAGGGTCTTCTGATGCTCACTAGCCCGTGACACATAAGTGAATATACTCTGTTTCCAAAATTATTTTCTTTTAGTGCTTAGTGTCACTTAAGGTTTTGGAAAAAATAAAAAGAAAAAGAAACCACAATTCAGTCTTTCAAAATGACCTAACCATCCAAATGTCAGACAAAGCTCAAAGAAAAGATACCTTTTGACTTTGCTCTATATTTGCACTCTTTGGTTATGGTTTCTGGGAACCTTCTGTAAGTTGGGTAGATAGAAAAAATGAGTACTTTGGGAAGCCAAGGTGGGCAGATCACGAGGTCAGGAGATTAAGACCATCCTGGCCAACATGGTGAAACCCCATCTCTACTTAAAATACAAAAATTAGCTGGGTGTGATGGTGTATGCCTGTGATCCCAGTTACTCCGGAGGCTGAGGCAGGACAATAGCTTGAACCCAGGAGGTAGAGATTACAGTGAGCCAGGATCGTGCCACTGCACTCCAGCCTGCGGCAGAGCGAGACTCCGCCTCCAAAAAAAAAAAAAAAAGAAAAAGAAAAATACTGAGTAAAATGTCTGATGAGACATCATGCTATCCAACCAACATTTACTGAAAAATAAAGTGAGTTGGATAGTTATTAGTTCTCATTCTACTACTTATGAGCTGTACGTGTCCAGGTAAGTTATTAATTTCCCTGAGCCTCAGTTCATTTCTGGAGAATGGGGCCAACTTGACACACGCCACCCGGCTACAGTGACAATCACTGTGTCATGGGGCTCCTTGCATGGTGCTGCCAGGCAGCAGAAGCCCAGCCAAGCAGGGCAGGGCAGTGAGGTACAGTGCTCTTCAGACGGCAGGTGCAACCAATGGATCATGAAATCAGTTTTGTGGCTCGAGACCGTCATTATGTCTTTTACATGAACCAGAACAGAATATATATAATAGAAAATATCAGGGCGCAGAAGCACGGAGTAATACCATGTGGAGAGGCTTTTGTTTGTGTGTGTGTGTGTGTGTGTGTGTGTGTGTGTGTGTGCACCTGCACAAGCCCACATGAAACCATGTTGCAAAGCAGAGTTCCTATCGGGGATCGTGCTGGCCAACGTGGGTTTAAAGTTCCTAGGGGAGGGTTTAGGAACTCAGGATCTGGTGTTGGGATTCGCCCTACATTCCATTTGAATCCCGGCTCTGCTGTTTACTTGTTAAGTGGGTTCAGCAATCTGTGCCTCAGTTTGAAAATGTGTCAGATGAGGATGACGAAGAATTGCTGTGAGGACAAAGTGGGAGATGGCAAGGAAAGAAGCGAACCATGCTAAGGGTTCTGCAAACGTTAGGAATTCTCACTACTTCTGTAACTTGTCTGGGACGCAACGATCACTAAAGCACTAGATCTAAGAGGGACAGCCCTTGCTCTCATGCAGGGCTAAGAACCAGTGTCAGCTGCCTGCTCCGGAAATGCAAAGCATTAGTGGGGAACTGAGAGCAGTCAGGTATGCCACTAAGACCAGGGCGGGAGGAACCCAGAAAACTAAGTGAGAGCCTCACCTTTTGCCCCTTGTGGGAAAAACATTAGATTTCTCTCTTAGGCTTTTATTGTGCACATCATTTTTCTGTGTTTGTTGCTGCTTCACTATTTAAATTTACATAAACAATTTGGTTCAAGAAATTCACCAAGGATCACAGAAATAGAAGTTAACGAGCCAAGTCCTTCTAGAATAGTGAGTAGCAATAATATCCTCAAGGCCTGCGCCCCAATCCTTAATTAGAAATAGGTACTATTTATTGAGCATTCCTCAGAACCCGGATGAGGGCCACAAACATGTTCTCATCCAGTAAAATCTTCACAACCAATCTGTGAGTTCATAATTACTAGGCCTGGTTTAAGGATGAGGAAACTGAAGCTTGGAGGCTAAGTGACTTCATTGAGGTCACACTGGTATCAGGCAGTGCTGGAATAAAAATGTGGGTTGTGCTGATGCTTAGAAGATGCTCTGAAAGATTCTGTCCCAAGCAGTCTGCTGAATGATTTCCTGGGTCGCATTAAGCATTGCATAGTCGCTCTAGACTACGTTTCTTTTTTTCAACCAACATGGAGCCTTGGAGACAAGGCCATACAAAGTTAAAAAAGAAAGGTTCTGTTTACAATGCTTGGAGATCAGGATCTACATGGATACAAAGCTTAGTAGTGTTTTGTAAGCATGCTCCCTGGACTATATACATAGCACATTTGCTCAAAAGTAGGGTGGAAACTTATGGAACGGAACCAAAACCTGGTGATGTCAAGGTATATTTAGTCTTTGCTCAGATGTGCTTCCAAAAGATTACTGGCAGAGCCAAGAATCATCTAACGTTACTTCTTTATTTAGAGTTCTTTTATGTACACAAGCACACAACTATTTCTTATTAGGAAGCACTCAAAGTAAATGCAGGGCAAGTTCCTAGATCCTTTCATCCAAGGATATAAAAGTACTTTACAGACATGCCCATTATCTCTGCTAAGTAAACTGCATTTGGCCCATTTTTGAGATGGGCAGAACCAAAATACAAAATTTGAGAACATATACTCTCATTTTCTACTGTAGGCACCAAGTCATGCTTGTGATAGCCAGAGGGAATCTAATATGTTACACATTTCTTCCCATTTTATTCAGAAAGGGATACTTTTTATCCTTTAAATTAAAAAAAAAATTGTGGTAAAATACGCATAGCATAAAATTTACCACTTTCACTGTTTCAAGGTAAACATTTCAGTGAACTGAAGGACATTCATACTGTGCTGTAGCCATCAACACCATCCATTCATTCACAAGATGCTTTTCGTCTTACAAAACTGAAGTCCTACGTGAGATACTGTAACTTCCTATCCCCCACCTTCCCTCAGCCCCCAGTGACCATCCTATTCTGTGTCTCTGTGAAATTGACTAGTCTAGGCACCTCATATTAGGGGAACCATCCAGTGTTTGCCCCTCGTGATTGGCTTATTTTCACTTAGCATAATGTCTTTAGGGTATATCTGCATTATAGACTATGTCGGAATTTCCTTCCATTTTAAAGCTGAATAATTTCCCATTGTATGGACAGACCACATTCTGTTTATCCACTCATCTGGTGACGGACAATGGAGCTATTTCCACCTTTTGGGTACTGTGATGATCATGGATGTACAAAAACCTGAGATCCTGCTTTCAATTCTTTCAGGAAGTGGAACTGCTGGGTCATATGTTAGCTCTCTGGAAAACTCTATACTGTTTTCCAAAGTGGCTGCACCATTTCACATTCCCACCAACAGTGCACAAGGGTTCCAATTTCTTCATATCCTCAAAATTGCTGAAGAGTGATTCCGGTTGTTTTAGAGGTCAGTGCTAGGGTAGCCATAACTGTACTTGGTGTAAGATAAAAATCACATTCTCCTTCCCTTCTGGTGTCATGTTCTCTATGCTTCTTAATAAATGGGCCTTTGACAGTTGTTTATATCCACATGCCCAGAAAGCACATTTCTGCCTGGGGTTTGCTCTTGTCTCCTCTCCGTGTTTCTCTTCTCAAGAATGTGTGAGTGTGAGTGTGTGTGGGGGTCGGGGGTTGTGTTCCTCAGCTCCCCTCAATGACTGTAGAGTGTTTTAAAAATCCCACATTAAAAACAAACAAAAACCCAGCCATGTCTGGAGTTGAATGTGCAGGAGTGTTAAAGTGAAGGACGGGACGGAACTCTAAGCCTGATGGAAGCCATGAGGCCCCACAGCTGCAGACCCCAAGCCGGTGGGACAAGGTCTATCCTGCTTATGCCTATACACCTGGAGAACAGTAATTACTCGATGGATACTTCCTGAATTTATGTTAAATATGAGCCAAGGCCGGGCGCGGTGGCTCACGCCTGTAATCCCAGCACTTTGGGAGGCCGAGGCGGGTGGATCACGAGGTCAAGAGATCGAGACCATCCTGGTCAACATGGTGAAACCCCAACTCTACTAAAAATACAAAAATTCAGCTGGGCACGGTGGCATGTGCCTGTAATCCCAGCTACTCAGGAGGCTGAGGCAGGAGAATTGCCTGAACCCAGGAGGCGGAGGTTGCGGTGAGCCGAGATCGCGCCATTGCACTCCAGCCTGGATAACAAGAGCGAAACTCCGTCTCAAAAAAAAAACAATTTAAAAAAAAACAAACAAATAAATATGAGACAAAGCAATGATAGGAGCTCTCATTGTGCAAATAATCCAAACTCTAGAACACTCCTTGAGAGTCATAATTCTGTTAAGGAGAAGAAAAGATAATAGAATGAGAGCCCAGGAAGGCATGGCCAATTTAATCCTCTACCAACATAGCAAACACATACTGGATCTGTGTGAAGTATGCCACACACCCTCACGACGGCGATCCTAAGAAAGACAAAGCTGAAGGGCAGAGAGACGGAATTCCTTTACTCATGTTCCTCCCTGCTGTTCTGAAATAACTCCCTGGTTAAAATCATTCACCAAGAGCTAGATTCTAAAAGTCACAGCAAAGCAACTATAGCTTCGTAATTCTCACAGCCCACATTTCCACAGAAAGCTCTTCATGAAGGTGATCACCTTTGAGAAGGTAGCTTTAGTTCCTACAGCACAATTCCAACATTAAAACACTTAAAATCCACGTCTCCCCTTAGAAACCTTTCCAGTGCTAAACAAACCATGCATCATTTTGTTCTTAGAATTATGTGGTCATCAGTGGATAAAGCTGTGGCATCTGAGTACAGAAATCTATCTGGGTAAGTTATTATTAAATATCAAACACACACACACACACACACACACACACACACACACAGAGAAACAAACAAAGCCGGATATCTGATGAAAATATCTGCCCTTCAAAACATGCTCTATTAGGTGAAAACAACAACAACAATCGTTTAATCCAATTTTTAAAAAAGCAATAAAAGTAAAAGCAATTAAACATAGTTGCTCTTCTAAAAGGAGCAGGTAAGGACGCTATGACTTGCATACCTGAGGTATGATTGACATTTTCTTCCTTAAATCGTGAAGTCCAATTTCAGTTGTCAAGATCTTATCAATCCAAATTTTACCTTCGGGTTCTGACAATCTAAAAAGGGCCGAGATGAGGGAACTTTTTCCAGCTCCAGTTCTTCCCACAATGCCAACCTACAGAGAGATCCAGGAGACAGGATTAAAAAAAAAAAAACCACAAGATAAAGCAAAAGCAGGAGAAAACTCTTGGTTTTTGAAGAAGAATTAAGGACACTCTACATGGAGTGTAGTCTAAGAGTTTCCCAGCCTCAGCACTGATGACCTTCTGAGCTGGATACTTCTTTTTTGGGGCTGCTCTGGGCATTACGGGGGATTTACTAGCATCCCCGGATCCTACCGCATAGATGCCAGGAGCACACTCCCAAGATACCACCAAAAATGTCACTGACCAATGTCCCCTGGGGCAAAACTGCCCCTGGTTGGGATCCACTGTTCTAAAAAAAGAGTTAAAAATAACAGAATCTGTTTACTGGCATTGAAAAGTCAACAGTCTCCTAAGTAGCCCATGAAAAGGCAAGTTTTAAAATAGCTTTACTTGTAGGATCTGAGTAACTTGACTTTCTGAAATAATTTCACAGGGATATTAATTCAAGACAGAAGTGTCAGAAGTGACATAAACGAGTATGCATTTTTCAGAGTTCTGTCATTTAAGATGACATATTCTTTGGTAGAGAAACTTCCAAATATTAACTATCTGGCTATATTTTGTCTCAGACGGAAATGTTTTAAAATTCTGAAGTGAAGATTACAGTGTCTTAAAAGACAGTAATAACTACTGGCCAAAAAACACATAATGAGATCAACAACAACACAAATAACATTTGCTATTTATGTAAGGCCTTTCATCTGAGCAGTTCAAAAGGCATTATACAAACTAATTAATACTTACAATTGCCCCTTGAGAAACATTTGTGTCAAGTATCACTGCTCTATTAAAGCCAAGATAGAGAGAAACGAAGTGCACTGCCAATACCATCAAAGAATCAACAAAATGCAGGTAAAAACGTAGGGGCTATATACTATGTTGTAAAAACTGGCTTTCACATGTGTGCATATAAATCTGTATGCAGAAACTGGCCTCTGTGCCAATGACCTTGCCCAACCGCAAATTTCCTGGAGGGAACTTCCCAAGAAATGACATCCTCCTTATTTAGGAATCTGGAGTCAACAAAGGCCACAAGAGATGCCTTCAATCATTTGTCAATTAATTTAATAAATTTCAAAAGTCACTGCTTTAAACAGAGAGGAAGCAAACTTTACTGAGCACTGAGTATGTGTTGGGAATGTTACATTTACCTCATTTGAACACCTCCATATCTGTAAAGTCAATAATGGCATTTCCACGAGGAATTTTATCTTTAAAGAGGTAAGTGTACAAAATATAAAAATGTAAATGTTTTAAAGGTGGCTTTAGCTAATTTTACTACCTTTGTAGTCATTTTCTTTCTACCTTATGGTAAATCCTAGCTTACACTTTATAGGTGGGCCATCTTCTGCATAAAGGTACATCCTGGTGTGTGCATAAGTGTGTGTGTGTGTGTGTGTGTGTGTGTGTGTGTATGTGTGTGTGTGGCTTATACGTGTTTCTGAGTATCTCTGGGTGTCCTCATGTGTAAATCGGCACATATCTAGACATAGACAAATGCTGTGTTTGTGAGAATGTGTGGACACTCATGTTATTAGCTCTATGGGAAACTGAGCCATCTGTGCAAACCTGAGTGTTTGTAGGCCATTATTACAGCCAGGATGGGCCCCTCAAAGGCAGGGGTCACTGAGGGCTGCCTACAACCCTAAGACTAGGCACTCGAAACTCAGGTGAGGATATAATCAGGAAAAGGCAACCAAAGAAAACCTAGCTCTGGTTATTTTTCTTTTCAAAGTCATCAAAATTACAGTCTCCAAGTCTTTCACAAGTCTCCAATGGGTTTTACCAAATCCTACGGAGAATATCACTAATATCAGTAAGTTTACATTCATAACACCAAAGAGACACTTAGTCTTATTTTAATTGTGTTACAATATCCCCTTTTTGTTTTCCCAGCTGGGCCAGGAGTGGTCTCTTTGGCCAAACATTAGATTTGCATCTCTCTTCAGATATAAAACTCAACATGATCAATACCCAGTACCCCACTCAGAATAGCTGCTGCTTCTGACTCCTCCATTTTAATCTAATAAATTCTTCCCCCAAGTTCACAGGCTCAAACACCCACCTCCCAGCTTTCCCCAACTCCATACCCTAAAGATATTACTTGTTCCGTTTCTTGACTCAATATCCTTATTTTAATTTCTGCAGCCATTACCTGAGTGCAAGGCTGCATTAACATCTGAAAAACAAAACAAGCCCTTCTGCTAGTTATAACCAGTGCAAGCGAATTTGAAAAATAAATAAATGCTAGCCACAACCCCAGCAATCTGACAGAATCCTTGTTATACGTTAATACTTTTTCTTTCTGAACCTGAGTGTGAGTTACCTGTATTCCTAAAGATATAATCGCATATATTTAAACAAAATGAGAGTATGAACAGTTTATTATAATCTATTTTCATTTATTATTTAATAAAAGTATTGGCTTTAGTGGCCACATATTACAGTATTATGATTATTTATTCAACAAATCCCCTATTTGTGGATGTTAAGGCTCCATATTTCGCTATTGTAAACAATACCATGTTAAATATCCTTGAAGCTATACCTTTGCAAACAACCTTAATTAGTTCCTTAAAATAAATTCTTAGATGTGGAATTGCTGAGGAACAGGTATGAACATTTTCAAAGGAGGCTGTTAAGTCATGCCAAACTACCCTCCAGAAATACAATACCAATTTCTACTCCCACCTGTATCTCTGCAAATTCACGAACCAGGGTGTTACAACTTTGTTTAATTAACATTAGTTTGATTCTACAAAGTGGAATCACTTGTCCCATCACATCTTGCTCATAGTACACGAGATCTGTTGGCTTCAGGCCTCCAGAATCTTCCCTGTGCACTCACTTCTCAGATTCAGCTTCTGAAGTATAGCTCTCTGCCTGGCACTCCGCACTGCGAAACCTCCTCTACAAAATGGTCCTTAGCTCCATGACTGGCTTGAGTTTGCGGGGTAGCTGTGAAGACTAAGCGTTAACGTGTGTTATTCACCTAGTAGTTCCTGCCCCTGTACACTCACAGGTGCCGAATGCTTCATTCACATCGAATCACGGCATCGTGCCTTGGCATATACCATCGTGCCTTTCACAGGCATTTTGACCTGCTGAAATCCTAACCATTTTACAAAGTCTGTTTCAAATGCATAATCGCATTAAAATCCTCCACCTGTCCCCTCATGGATTTCCCCACACTTAATGGCTGCCATACACCTTTTCTAAACAGCCATAAAATCTGTGAACTCCTTCTGTCTTACAGAGTAGCCATTGATACACTACTTTGTTTCTTCTGCTAGGTGATAAGCGCTGTGGGCAGGACCTATATTAGAATTAGCTTTGTATTATTTGTATGACCTGTGGTGTCCTGCAAAAACCAGAAATCCCCCAGAGAGTTGAGCATTTAACTCGGGCTTGAAAGGCTTATGGGAACACTATTGCCATATTGCTCAGGTACACAATAAGCTAGGTGTTTTCCGCCTCTTATCTCGTTTAAGTCATACAACTCGAATGGTTAGGCCCTATCAGTTGCATTTTTCAAGAGAGAAAAATCAAGTCTTAGTAAGATTGATTAAACTGTCTGAAATAACTTGAGCCCCTAAGTGGCATAATGGGGCTGAAACCCAGGTCTGCCTGCCTCTTGCCCATTCTGCTGATGGCCTCCCTATCACTTGAATAGCCTGGCTCTGTATTCCCTTGGTCCAGCTAGAAGGGAGACAGCGGGGAGAAGTGTGGTTGTGGTTAAAGGCACTGGTCCTATTGTCACACACTTCATGCATGGTATGGACACTGGGTGAGTATCGGAAGGTGGCTGGAACAAGAAACTGTCAACTTTGAGCCAAGAGGGTACCTGTATAGGATGGATTACAGCTGTTGACAGGAGGAAGTGGCACCCAAAGCAGAGGCTGGGAGAGAGACCTGCAGCTATGCTGGGCATGGGGCACCTAGGAAACAGGCCAGACAGACCTAGTGTACTGTTTGGGGCAGTGAGACTAATTTTGATCCCATCAGTAGTGAAAGGAATTCAAATACATTGCTGTGCTGAGCGGGTATGAGGACAGAGACTGCTATTCAGGAAAGGGTGTATTGTGGGGTGAAAAGTGTGACAGAAGACAGAGGTGACTGGAAAGGTGAAAAGGAATGCAGAAATGTGGAATCACACAGACTTAACCATAATGTAAACTCACGATTTGTAGAAAAGTAAAAATAAAAATTCTGTAGGGTTGTATGTGGCCAGGAGCTATCCAGAGTCTCATGTTTCCTCGTAAGAGGGGCTGGGACAATCCGTGAGCTCAGCTTCAAGTTGTCAAAAGAAGTTTCTTGGAAATCTCAGATTATCAGTCATCAGAAGTTGCTTATTGGAGTGCGATGGCTTCACTGCAGGGGCAGGAGTGGGGCTGGTTCTTGTGCCAATGCAATTTTAATCAAAAGGGTGGGGTGGGCCTGACAGTCTGCATTTCTAACATGTTCCCAGCAGAGGCAGGTGATGCTGATCCCGGCCCCCAAGATGACCAGGCAGGCAGGGGAAGTGGGGCAATCTGGCTGTGAGGGGAGGGGTTTCTCAGTAAACACTAATGTAAAACAGGAGAAAATACAAGAAACTAATATTTTTTCACATTATAGCAAGGTCTAATACACAGCTGTAAAAATGTATTATCCAAGTAAAAGCTCTGAGCAAGGAAAAAAAATAACAAACCAAAATCAATCTACCTCTAGACCTGAAAAATGCTTTAAAATGGCCCAGTACCCTCTAAAATGATTAAATCAACCACAAAATCATCTAAATGAAAAATGCAGCCAGTGTTTGGAATCTAACCAGGAATCCTAGGGTGGTATATACCTCATTTTGGTTCATTCTTTTTTACTTGCTATTTCTTCCATGAATTAGAAACCTGCTTAAGTGCCTATTACTTTTTCCTATTTATTATAATATCCAGGAATCTGAGCAGATGAAGCAATTGAAAGAGAATGAAGCCCTGTTTCTGCTGTGTGGACACATCCCTGCCGGAAAAAATGCCACTATCCATCAGATCCAACAGCGAAAGGCACTACCTGAGATCCTGGGGCTGTCGGCAGGTGTGGAGAAGATGAACCCTGAATATACACAGGCCAAGTGGAACAATTCACCACAATGTTGCCTGGATGCCATCTCTGAATACACAAACAGAGCTAAAGGTGACACTGTGAGTGAACCAGGACACAAATCAAAGCCAAGTGGGGCTGGGCACGGTGGCTCATGCTTGTAATCGCAGCACTTTGGGAGGTCAAGGCAGATGGATTGCTTGAGGCCAGGAGTTCGAGACCAGCCTAGCCAACACGGTGAAACCCCAAGCTACTTGGGAGGCTGAGGCAGGAGAGTCACTTGAACCAGGGAGGCTGAGTGAGCCGAGATTGTACCACTGCACTCCAGCCTGGATGATACAACAAGACACTGTTAAAAAAAAAACAAAAGCCAAGTGCTTGTAGCTCTAATTCAGTCTTCAAATTCAATTTACCCACCTGTTGAGAAATGCTGAGTGTATGACTGCTGAGAAATGCTGAGTGTTTGCTAAGAGTAGCGGCAAGGAAAACCTAGATGTGTCCAGCAAGTAGAAAACTACTTGGGGCATTCTAAAGTGGCAGGACAATATATAAATATCATACACCGGTTAAAAGTTCTTTAAATGTGGGACATCTGATCCTGCCCCCGTAGTTCTCTTGTGAGGAATACTTTTTAGTTTGTCTGTGATCAGTGGTAAGGGGGCACCAGATGCCTACTTGGTATATTTTTGTGTTATGAGAAAATACCAAACATCTGTTTGTTAATAATCGTCACCTGTTCAGAGAGAATAGATGTGTGGGTCGGAGTCTGCTCAGGGCCTTCAGCCTGGAATGCTGTCAGCCCCCTGAGGCTCTCAGCTTGGAAGGCCACTGGCCCTTCGGATAGTCCCACTTTGCTGTTCTATCTGGGTGTCTGGTTCTCAATTCGCTCAGTGCCGCCTGGGTGGGGGTCTCTATGGCTGAGCTAGTCTTGGTACCCTCTCACATTTTAGATCTCAGGTAATCCTATGATGTAGGGGGTGGGGTTTAAGATGAAACAATATCAGTGTGGAGATATAGGTTGTTTTCTAACTTGTACAACAGAGATTTGTAGATAATTCATATTTTACAGCTTCAAGGAAAATTTACAACGTGACCAAACTAACTGAATGATGATGACCACGGAGGACCTGATAAATGCAGTGTCTGAGAGGAAGCAAACGTTCCCCCCGTGCCGTCAGGAACAGAATCTGAAAAACCTTGCTTTCAGCAAGAGCTACGGCTGATGTCTGCAGAGTGGTCTTCATCTTCTTCGTACTCACAAGGACACGCGGTAGATAATGAGGAATCAGCTTTTGCTGGTTTCCTGGGTATCATCGGGCCATGAAGCTGCATATTTATTTTTCATGGCACAATGAAAAAATTATGACTACAGTCCATTAAATGGGTCTGTGGTGGGAAGAGCTGAAAAGAGCAGTTCTGAAAGTATCTACCACTGATGCCCCGGGAATGGGCTGTTTGCAGGACTTGTCCTGTGGGTTTTGTTGCTGATTTCTTTGCATGTTCGTATCTCTCACTCTCACATGCACCCACCATATGCCCTGCAGCATGCCATTTTCTAAGGGTGCAGAGGTGAATATAAAATGCTCCCTGACTTTAAGACTCAGGGTACTGTGAGATGCTGAACCAGAATTATACATCGTGCGGTTGTGCTACATTCTTTAACAAAAAACTGTGGTAAGATACACAAAAGGCACTTAATGTACTTTTAAAATTGTGGTAAAATAACATAAAATTGATTATTGTAACCACTTTAAAATGTACAGTTCTATTGCATTAAATACATTCATGTTGTTGGGCAACCATCACCATCATCCACCTCTAAAACTCTGTTCTTCTTGTGAAACTGAAACTGTGTACCAATTAAACACTAATGCCCACTCCCCCACCCCTGCCACCCACCATCCTACCTTCTGTCTCCATGGCTAACTCCTCCAGGTACCCACATGTAAGTGGAATCTTATAGCACCGTCCTTAAGTGTCTGGCCTAGTTCACTCAGCATAATGTCCCCAGGGTTCATCCATGTCACAGCATTTATCAGAATTTCCTTCTGTAATCCCAGGCGTGATATGGGAGGCTAAGGCGGGCAGATTATTTGAGCTCAGAAGTTCAAGACCAGCCATGGCCAACATGGCAAAACCCAGTCTCTACTAAAAATACAAAACTGAGTTGGGTGCAGTGACGCACACCTGTAATCCCAGCTACTTGGGAGGTTGAGGCAGGAGAATCGCTTGAACGTGGGAGGCGGAGGTTGCAGTGAGCTGAGAACGTGACATTGCACTTTAGCCTGGGTGACAGAGCAAGACTCTGTCTCAGAACAAGAATCTGCAAGACGATGTGGAGAATACAGTTTCATAGAGGCAGAGATGTCTGAACTAACTGAAAAAGGGTGCACACTAGAAGCAAGGTGGACAGGTGCTTGGGGAGAAGGAGAGCACCCTGAGTGCAGGGTCTGGGTGCCCATGTTGGGAGTTGTAATGAGAGGGGTGGGAAAGGGAAGAGATTCCTATTGTCTTGTTTGTTCTGGTTTAATTCTGTCAAGAGGCTGTCTTAGTCCTGGCCATGGGCCCTAGGCCACATGCGAAAGGGACATTACTGGTGGACTTAGATGCCTGCAGAACCAGCTCACAAACCTCCACATAGCCTCCCAATCCCCTCCTTGCTTTTCTTTTAGTGACTTATGAGTGAGTCTCTGGTACCTTCACTGCCTCCAGCTTGGGGCTCTGATTTCTGGCCACTGATGGGGTCATGGGATCTAGGTCTTCCTTGGGGGCTGACAGCCACACAGCTCCTGTCAGGATGGGCCTGGAGTTCATTAAGGTTGTAGCAGCAGTTCACCCAGGCCAGGAGCTAGCCATGTAAGATCAGATCTGTGATCAAACTGTTTCAGAAAGAAAGAGTTTGCAGTGAAAGAGAAGGGAGGGAAAGCAAAGCACGGGTTAAAGGAAGGCAAGAAAGACTAAGGAAAGGGCCGGATATGGTTGGCTGTGTCCCCACCCAAATCTCATTTTAAATTCCCACATGTTGCGGGAGGGACCTGGTGGGAGGTAACTGAATCATGGGGGCAGGTCTTTCCTGTGCTGTTCTCGAAATAGTGAATAAGTATCACAAGATCCAATGGTTTTACAAGGAGAAGTTTCCCTGTACAAGCTCCCTCTTTGCCTGCTGCCATCCATGTAAGATGTGACTTGCTCCTCCTTGCCTGCCACCATGATTGTGAGGCCTCCTGTTCCACATAGAACTTTAACTCCATTAAACCTCTCTTTCTTCTGTACATTGCCCAGTCTCAGGCATACCTTTGTCAGCAGCGTGAAAACAGACTAATACAGGGTCAAAGGATGAAAGAGGAGAAAGGCTGGAACAGAAGCTGCAGCAATGGAGAGGAAGAGAAGGACTTGAGAAACGCAACAAAGTAAAAATCGACAGAATTAGACATGGGAGTGTTGGTGACAAAAAGCCAAAGTTGACTTCCTAGAAAAATGCGTGAGTAATCAGATGTCAAATAGAGTATCCTGGGTCACCTTAAGCTCCAGCCCTGAGGCCCCGAGACCCACCAACCACAATGAAACCGTTCACAGCATGAAGAAAGAATGTTGGTATCCACATTTCATGGTCAGTTTCCAAGATAGGTTAACCTATGTATCACTGATCCCCTTCACACATCCACAAGGAAGCCAACAAGCAGACGTAGCACTAAATCTTCTGAAATTTAGAAGAGGCAAGATGCTTGAAACCAACCTTTTCTCGTGATTTAATGAGTGCTGTCAGGTGCTTCAGTACCACAGGCCCATCTAGACTGTACATGAAGTTAACATTGTCAAAGACGATCACTCCTTCATGGGGCCAGGCTGCTGGTGGGCGTTTCTGGTATTCCCAAGGTGCTTCTTTTTCAAGGTCTGTGTATTCAATCACCCTCTCTACTGAGATCATCTGAAAGAAATATGACATCCCCATGGGTTAGGAATGGAGGGTATCATTTATGATGTTAAGAGACTGTCAATGAAATGTTCTTTCACACATGGCTGGTTAAGGAGAGACGCAGGAGACCAATGAGGATGGTGATGACTTACAAACTTGGTTCATGATTGTGTAACACCTTCACTTACAGCCACTTCATTCAACATTAGGTTAAAATAATGAGAGAAATTAATGCTTAGATTTTATTTATCCACTTTTCACATCTGTATTAAAGGCAAGAAAATTTCTTAAAGGAAAAGAATACTTACATCTACTAATCAAGAATCTTTTGCTGACCAGGCACGGTGGTTCATGCCTGTAATCCCAACAGTCTGTGAGGCCGAGGTGGGTGGATCACCAAAGGTCAGGAGTTTGAGACCAGCCTGGCCAACATGGTGGAACTCCACTTCTACTAAAAATAGAAAAATTAGCCAGGTGTGGTGGCGGGTGTCTGTAATCCCAGCTACTCGGGAGGCTGAGGCAGGAGAATCACTTAAACCTGAGAGGCAGAGGTTGCAGTGAGCCAAGATCACGCCATTGCACTCCAGCCTGGGTGACAAGAGTGAAACTCTGTCCCCTGCAGCAAGAAAAAAAAATCTTTTGCTATAGAAGGGTTACCTGATATAGATTCGTTAAATTAGATGATCATGAAACCTCACTGTAATAATTACTCAAATTTTACTCTATGAGAATAATGGAAAGATTTTATGTTCATTGCTTTTCTCCCTTTAGGAGAAGATGCAATTATTTAAAACACTGATTAAGGCCTCCTATACCACCATAAACTAATAGGCTTTGACTAGCACATTCCGAGAGGGTGCTTGCTGTACCAAGAAGGCACACCAGCAAACCCAAGGCCTTCCTTCCCTCTGTTCATTACATAAGAGAATAAAACTAAAACTGGGGGAGGAGGACCTATTAATTAAACATAACCTCAAAATATTGCAATCTTCTTTTACCAGGAATGAAGAATTACCCATTAAGAAACAAAAATAAACAGGCTTCTAAGAAATTAGCTTATATCCTCTCCAGAATTTCAGAACCTTCCTCCTACAGAGATATTTATTACATCTGAAAAAGCTTGTGATGAATACAAAACCTGCTGACATAGCAACCATAAGACTCAGAAAAAGATGTATATATTTTATTTTACATTAACAGTAAACAGATGGAGGAAGGATCTTAAAAACCTCTGTTAGCAAAGATGTAAAAATAACAGTTTTAATATTTCACATAAGAATGGCTTTTATGCCATTTAATGGCAAGGAGACTTGAAAAGGCAGAGAACCTGAAGTTAACATTACCATATTCTCAACTTCGGCACTTTGTCGAACACACCACTGAAACATCCCCATGAGCGTGAGGGCATAGGACAGCGCCAAGCCAACCTGACCAGCATCCAGAGCTATGTCAGGAGGAAGAAGAGAATAAAGTCAATCTCACTTGCAACTTAAGCCTGGCTCCTTCTGCCACTTACCAGTAATGTTAAAACAATTTGCACATAATGACATTAATAGCTACAATTTTACCATTTGTTGCTTGAGATCAAGATACAACGGGGAAAACAACACTGCATATTCAGAAAGTTTATTAGATGATTTTATGAATTTCAACAGGATCGACATACATTTGCTTAACAATATTCTATATGCAAGAAATAATGTCATTATTCAGACATTCATTATTATGGTTTCAGAGCCCATTATGTTATTCCACTTTCTACGGGCAATTCAACCACAGCTGGAGACCACTAAAAACAAAGCAATAGGTTGTAAGTGTCAATGCTTTTGAGACTAAAATGCAACTCTCCTTGTTCCATTAAGTACTGTCGTGCACGTTGTTGCTGGGATGGTGAACTCATGCTATGCTTATCTGGTACCCAAGTGGCAGTGAAGATGATACTCTTTCCCGCTGAGAATTTTTCACAATCTCATGCACCAGGCAACTACAACCAATAGTTACAAATAGTCAGAAAGCTAACATCCTAAGCGACACAAAATGCTTCAGAATAAATTGGTTTTCTCTTCACAACTACCAGACACTAACAGAAATGTTTAGAATGTCAATTGTACATACCTCAACCCATTCAAAGAAACATAAAAGAAACCCATCAAGACCCAAATGACTCCCTCAAATGAGTCACACTGCTGAATCCTATCCAACCTGATACCCTGTAAATGATTTAATCTACTTCACTAGGACCAAACAGTATGTAGGATTAGACAAGGTGGCAAGAGTTTAATTTAATAACTGTAAACACAGCTATAAATTGTAATCATACCATTCATAGTTATTCACATCTGTACTTACTTTTTGCCAGAATCAGGGACCCAAAGGCAACGACGATGACAAACATGGCACAGATGGCATCCAGACGGACTGCAAACCAGCGGGACGTTGTCAAAAACAAGAACCAAGCCTCTGAATTTGAGAACGGTAATAAGCATGATGAATAAGTGGAAGAACCAAATTAACTGCATTGAACATGAGTGTGTGTTCTGCTTGGTTGAGCTACAGATTTTTATGTGGAGTAGGGCAGCAAAGCTGCACACCCAAGGAACCTACAGATTCCAGAAAGCTAAGTGATACAGGCAATATGTGATACACATACAAAATAGTACAGTGGCTTTGAGTGAAGATGCATGTGAATACGAAACCCAGAAATATGAACCTAATAAAGATCTGAGAAAAACAGTCTCCTAAGGGCATCTCCTGCAGTGCTGAGAGGTACTTATGTGAAGGGCATTCTCATGGGAAGTCCACCCACACACATGGTTGATGCTACAGTTCTCCAATAGTGGAGTGTAGCTCCCAACTCACTTCACCTTCCATACTTACCATAAGGGCCACACGCACTAGCTATTGCTTAGGGGCTATATCAAGATGACCTCACTACCAGGATTTGCATGTGGTTTTTGGTTTGTTTGTTACTTCTTTTTTCCATTTTGCATGCGGTTTTTAAAATGCCATTTCATCAGCAATATGAAATAAAGCTTGGAATAATGGACTAGCATTTTGCAGATTTGGAGGAAATTCTGAAATTTGCAGATTGAAAAAACTTTCACTGATTTTTCAGCAAACTATAGCATGTGAACCAGCACCTATTTTTGTAAATAAAGTTTTATTGAAACACCGTCACAGCCCTTTGCCAATGTACCAATGTCTGCTTTTGTGCTACAACACAAAGGTGATCAATCACAACAGAGACAATAGTGGTACACAATGCCTAAAAGATTTACTAGGCAGCCTTTTTGTAGAAAACGTTTGCTGACAGAGTCAAAGGCCATGCATGGTGAGAGAAGGACCCTGCCAGACAGTCAGGGGGTACAAAGAAGGAACATGCAGAGGGGATTCCGAGATGAGTCCAAGCCCAGAAGAAGGGGACGGAGAAGGAGAGGAAGATGTGCAAAAAGCAGGATGTGGCGCTGGGCTCTGAGGTACTGGCCAACAAGCTCATCCACGCAGGGAGGTTAAACCAGAGAAATCAGATCCTGTCCTTTGAAACCATTTCCTGAAATGGACAGACCTGAATGTAAATCCTGGTGTGCATCAAACAGTTCCTGACACCTCTCTTCTGCTTTGTATGCCCGAATGGTCCAGAGCCCCTGGAGAGAAGATGATAAGTGGGAAAACACCGGACTCCGAGCTGGGGAAACAGAGACAGAGAAAACACTCAGTGAGGCTGGATGCAGGGAAACCAGTGGCCTCCCAAGCTGCATCATCATGCATTCACCAAACAGCACACGCAGGCTTCCTAGGAGGCTTCATAATTCAAGGAGAAATAAATGCTTCCAACAGCCTAAGGGGACCCTGCTACTGCAATCTCAACCTCCTGCGCAAACCACACCTCACAAAAGGGGCCTGTAAATGAACGTCGTATCTTTGACCACATTCAAATCTAGTTATAATTCTTTCCTTCCTAATTCAGGCTTCCAGGTCCTCCTCCTCTCCATATTCTTCCCTGACATCTCTTTGGGCAGAAATGATATTTCTCTGATTTTTGAGCCAGTAGCATTTTTAAAAACAATTCTGTTGAGAGATGTCACCACACTGAATTACAATTAGTCATCTATGTGTCTGTCCCTACCTTAAATTGTTAATTTCTCAAGGGCCAGCCATAGCCATTGCATCCTGGTAACTGGACGGTACCTGGCTCAGGACAGGTACTCAAGAAGTGAGCTGAAGAGACTGTCACTTCCCTGCATCTTGGGGAATCTTCTGTGCCCACTCATGCTAGAAGAGTCCTTTATGATCTCCACGGACCTGGGTGCTTCAGTGCCCTTGTACCATGCCCAAGGAACCTGCCCAGCCAAGATGTCTCTGAGTGGTCTTAACACTGGCTCCAGGAAGCTGATGGATGTTTTTATGACTGCCCCGTTGAAAACCCATCCTGATCTCTGGAGGTCTCTATGGCATGTGCCATTGCCTTTTTCAGAATCTGCTGTGGTCTCAGTGGGTCTATCATCTCTACAAAATTTTAAGAGGTGAATACTCTTTTGTGTGACTTCTTTTTCCTTTGGGAACCAGATATCCCATGAGGGTCACTGATCAGCTACTCCTCCTTGGGCCACTGTGTTTTTGTGTGCTGCTGGTGGTTTTTTCTTTCTCTTTTTTTTTTTTTTAACACAAAGTTTGGCTCTTTGGCCCAGGCTGGAGTAAAGTGGTGCGATCTCAGCTCACTGCAATCTCCTCCCCCCACCCCAGGTTCAAACAATTCTCCTGCCTCAGCCTCCCAAGTAGCTAGGATTATAGGAACCCACCACCATGCTTGGATGATTTTTGTATTTTTAGTAGAGATGGGGTTTCACCATCTTGGCCATGCTGGTCTTGAACTCATGACCTCAGTTGATCTGCCTGCCTCGGCCTCCCAAAGTGCTAGGATTACAGGCATGAGCCACTGCAACTGGCTTTTTGGTTTCTTTTGAGATAGGATTTCTTGCTGCAGGGTACTGATGCTGTGTGGGACCTTCTGAGGGTTATTATGTTTTTAATTATCAAGGCTCTAGTGCCTCTGGTAGTCCCCATATGTTCAAGGTTCCAGTGTCCCTTCCAAGCAGTCTCAAGCAAGCCTCATAAGAACCCAACAGGGAAAGTATTATATCCTTGATAGAGGGAAAAACAGGATTGAGGCATTAAGAACACTGCCCAAGGTTGGGCGTGGTGGCTCACACCTATAATCCCAGCACTTTGGGAGGCCGGCAGGCGGATCATCTGACGTCAGGAGTTTAAGACCAGCCTGACCAATATGGTGAAACGCTGTCTCTGCTAAAAATACAAAAATTAGCCAGGTATAGTGGCATGTGCCTGTAGTTCCAGCTACTCAAGAGACTGAGACAAGAGAAATGCTTGAACCCAGGAGGCAGAGATTGCAGTGAGCCAAGATCATGCCACTGCACTCCGGCCTAGTTGACAGAGTGAGACTCCGTCTCAAAAAAAAAAACCAAAACACAAACAAACAAACAAAAACACTGCCCAAGATTAAGTAAACTAAGCCATGCAAGCATGCAAACGGTAGACTTGGGCATCAGACTAATATCTGTTTTATTTCCAAAGCTGTGTTTTTAATCTGAGCCACAGGTCTCAGAGAAAGAATAATCAGAGTTAAACATTCCCATGCATCTGAAGGCATTTTTCTTCAGACTTTGTAGCCCACAGTTGAAAAATCCCCAAATCTTACTTGGCTAATATCCAAAAGCCTTCCCTATTCCTGTGGCACTTATTAATCACCTTGCACTGAACAAAGCCCCTGGGAATCTAGGGTGAGCAAACTCAAGGATCTTACGATCTAAAATCATGGGGCACATGGGTTCACACTCATGGCAGACATTGCTAGTGGATCACAGTATCTTTACAGACAGAAATTGGATATGGCTTCATATTCCTGGCATTGCCAAATGAGTGGAGGTGGCTAAAGAAATGCAACCAAATGCCATTCCGGTTTTTATGCACTTCTCTATGACTGACTATTGCTCCGGTCACTTTTGCAAAAATAAAAAATCATTATGATCAACTGCAGATTTGTTATTAAGATTCCTTAAATGCCAACCACGGTTCCAGGGGTGGTGAAGCAGTCCAACTCAGGCTTTGGAAATCCTTGAGGGCACAAGGATGAAGCTGGGTTATGCCTCCCTGCCACGGCAATCAGCCATCCTGCTTTTAGCCAGTGACTCCAGCAGTGGTCTCAAAAAACACAATCCACTGCTGCTTAGAAGAAACAGTGGAATTGTGATTTATGGCAGAGACTCACCACCCCAGATGGATAACAATAAACAGTTCCAACCAACTGGTCACCACAGTTGGTGATCTGAGAGCATGGAGAAAGGAACATGCATATTTAACTCACTGTCACAGCCAACCGGGGTGCAGGGACACCCAAATACGCCTCAGGGGCCATGATGAGGTTGTCCGAATTTGCCCAAGAAAATGTTTTCAAGCTTTAGTGTACATGCTGAAATTCAAGAGAGAAAATCCTACACTGCTTCCAAAAAAGCCTTCCTAAGTCCCCTTTTCTCCACATCCACGTGGATCGGATGTGGCCCTTGACACAGACAGACATCTATGTCAAGATGTTCCTTCTGGAGCAGATGCTTCCTTCAACATACCACAGACTCCCTGAAGATAAGACTGTCATATAACTTCATTTCATGAGCAGGCCCAAACCATAAAATGCCCACACAGCCTTGCTGTCCACACATAACACTAGCTAGGGCCAGTGATCTTCACAAGGAAGCTCTCCCAGCAACACTAACATTTATACTCTGCCTTGCCTTCCCTAGCAAGTCCCATGGGCCAAGTGTTACTCACATGTGGACTCCACTGCTCGCCCGCCCCATTGAACACCTCATAAGATGAGACCTCATGGTAGTTTAGCTGGTTTTCTTGATGACTGAAAAGTTTTTCTACAACTTTTATGGACTGTCACCCACTCTACTTTATGCAGACATTTAGGATAAATGCCTCTTAAGAATTCACTGTTGGTCAGGTGCAGTGGCACATGCCTGTAATTCTAGCACCTTGGGAGGCTGAGGCAGGCGGGTCAGTTGAGGTCAGGGGTTCAAGACCAGCCTGGCCAACATGGTGAAACCCCGTCTCTACTAATAATGCAAAAATAGCTGGGTACGGTGATGTGTATCTGTAATCTCAGCCACTCAGGAGGCTGAGGCATGAGAATCGCTTGAACCCAGTAGGCAGAGGTTGCCGAGACCAAGATCGTGCCATTGTGCTCCAGCCTGGGTGACAGAGAGACTCCATTTCAAAAAAACCAAAAAAACAAAAAATACAAGAGTTCATTGTTAAAAGAGAAACATATATATGTCACAACAAAAAACTGCTTTGTCCTGATAAATGTCTATTTCCCACTCAGTAGATACTGAAATGATGGGACTCAATGTTTCTCTTCTAGGCGTGGCTTCTAGAGAGCGGAGTTGGCATTTATTTGCAGTTAATATCCACAGTGGAGCTTTTCTGATACAAGTATCTTCCTTCTTTACTTTTTGGCTCTCATCCTTATACCTTTTATTAAAAAGTACAGCAATTCTACTCTCCTTATGAATTTTTGTTTTAACAATGATGCAATATGTTAATTTGTGCATGCATAATGAGATGAATTTCATCTCTGCAATTACTTGAGGAATAGAGTGATTAATCATAAAATGTCTTCCCCATGATTCCAAAACTAGAAAATTAAATAGAGCAACAGACTATATGTTTTCTAAACTAGTATCTCTCCTTGTGATCTAAGGGGATTATTTTCAGTGTCCGTATATATATATGAACAGCCTGAGGGGAAACAGTCTGAACACTGTGACATTAGTATGAGTACTGCTGGTAACAAAGGGAAAACTGAAAATAACAATGCTTATCTTTTCAAAACGTTTACATCTGCAACTTACTAGCCATTCTGTGAGTTTGCAAAAGTCATAAATTTACCAAATATATTGCTTCTGACACCTCTTTTCCTTTCTCCAAACTTCTCATTTCCTTGTCATTTTTAGCATCATCAGGGAAAGAACAACACCCTAATTATTTTCCTTCTATATTAGTTCCACCGTGATCAAATTTTTATTTCTAAGAAAAATGTTTAATTAAGTGTTGGCTTTGTGTAAGGAGGTATCTCATAAACAAGAACAAATAGTCCCTGCCTTCATGGTGCTGACATTCCTGTAGAATATTACTCCCGATATGTCCTTCACTCCTTCCTTGTTCCAGACTGCGAAGCTGCATGTTGCATGCTATCAATTCCATATGCTCTAAGGGACACAATGATTCATGACGGCCAATACATTCGTTACCTGATGTTACAGAAATTCTGGAAGACAGAGTCTGCCAAATTTTAGGGGGTCTCCATAATCATGGCATAAATGGAAGCTAGCTAGCTTGTCTATACCAACCCACGTTTCCACACTCACTTGTAGATTCCAGGCGCTTCACGTCTCTTGACGTTTCCAAAAAATATCGCCGAAGGAAAATGAAAATGATTCCAAGGGGAACCAAGGGTATCGCGATCCAAGGAATCACTGCCACAGCCACAGAGACCACACCAACCACTTGTAGCAATGTCTGAAACAGCAGAAGCAGATACAGGTTTTCCTTATCAAGTACTCTTTTCAAAAATACTTTGATGAGTTATTGCTAGGATTACACTCCTTTCCTCAAAAGACTTTTGCAGTACCAGGGACTGCTTTTCCATCCAAAGGAATAACAAAAGTATAGGTGGTCCTGATGTTATCTATTACATGCCTGCCATGTGCCAAACACTATGATACGTACTTGCCCAATAGTTCCTTTCTTCTTTTTTTTTGAGACAGAGTCTTGCTCTGTTGCCCAGGCTGGAGTGCAGTGGTGCCATCTCCTGTCGCTGCAGCCTCCCGCTCCTGTGTTCAAGTGATTCTCCTCCCTCAGTTTCCTGAGTAGCCGGGACTACAGGTGCGTGCCACCATACCCGACTAACTTTTTGTATTTTTAGTAGAGATGGGGTTTCACCATATTGGCCAGGCTGGTCTCGAACTCCAGATCTCAAGTGATCTGCCCACCCTGGGAATACAGGTGTGAGCCACCACACCAGGTCCCCATTAGTTCTTTTGATATACTCAGCAGCCCCATGAATCAGGCATTATTACTTTCCCTATGTAACAGATGAGAAAACTGAGATTCAGAGTAGGACTTGAATCCCAAACTATCATGAGTCCGTTGATGTTATCAGGGCAATGAGCAAGCAGACATCACAGACAAGGAACCCAGAAGCCTCAGCTATGCAAGGGATAAGGAAGTGACTAACTGCTAGTTCAGTGCTTAGAAAAAAAGGAAATAATTTAAATCTTCACCTTTAGAAGTGGGAAGTCATCTCTCTTGGTATCTAGACTTTCTGTATCTGGTTGTATAGTAAATACACATGTATCAACTCGCTTAAATGTCACAATATATCTATGAGGTAGTATTACTGCACCATTTTACAGATGGAGACACTGAGGCACAGGAAGAAACAAGTAACTTGATCAAGAACACACAGCACCAGTCACAGAGCCAGGGAGCATGCATCGTCAGCCCCTGCATTTAAGCTTGTCCCCAGCATATGGTCAATGTTTTATTGGTCAGGACAAAATACTTAAATTTGTCTTTAATTTTTCCTCTAAACACACTTATGTAGGAACTTAGAGTTCATTAACATGCTCAGTAAAGAACAAATAAAAGAAATGTAACACAATTTTTACATGTTTTAAAGAAACCTGAGATTTTTTTTCTTATTACAATATATTGAATTTTTTATTGTCAGAAACGTTTGGCTTCTATTTCTCTTATGTTTAGTAGCATTGAGGAAGAGTTTTGATAACAAGAAAACAACTTACAATGTCTAACAGGGTTTTGTGTGTTCTTTAGCTTTAATACTTGGATGTACATTGAATTTTCCACCATTAGGAGAAATACTTAAAATGTCTATTTCAGAAGCACATGATGATAACAAGAGCAAATGACATTTATGAGCTGTTTCTGGATGCAAGGTTCTGTGCTAATGGATCTGTGAATGTTCACTTACTCATCACTTTACCTAGCAAGGTGACTTTTATCTTTGGAAAATACCTTGGTCTAAAAGGTAAAAAACAAAAAGAAAAGCAAGAAGCATAGAAACCCAAGGCATTGGATGATGCTCATTTAAGTATCCATCTTTATTAGGAAACGGGTAATATCACGGTCTGTGGCTTCAGGAAATATGAGTGCAAGTCAAGTGAGTGCCTACCTACTCTGAAAGCACAATGCTTGCTTCTTGGGAAGGATCAAACAGTGGGGGTGTGCAGATTCACACTAAACATGGCTGAGGCCTCCAAAGTTCATAGTCTTACATAAAAGTACATGACTTCAGCAGAAAGTACAGAGTGCTATAGAAATATAAGGAGGGGCTGGGTGCAGTGGCTCAAGCCTGTAATCTCAGCACTCTGGGAGGCCGAGCCAGGTGGATCACCTGACGTCAGGAGTTTGAGACCAGCCTGGTCAACATGGTGAAACCCCATCTCTACTGGAAACATACAAAAAAAATTAGCTGGTTGTGGTGGCGCACACTTGTAATCCCAGCTATGTGGGAGGCTGAGGCAGGAGAACTGCTTGAACCTGGGAGCTGGAGGTTGCAGTGAGCTAAGATGGTGCCACTGCACTCCAGCGTGGGCAAGAGAGTGAGACTCTGTCTCAAAAAAAACAAACAAACAAAAAAAAAAAAAAAATAGAAAGAAAGAAATATAAGGAGGAATACATGTATACGTTGTAGAGATTTTTAAGATTTACGACTGATTTTCACAGGCGTGTTTAACAGACAACCAGAAAGTACAGCATGAATAGTCACCTGCAGGTCTCAATCACAGTTTAATTGCTGCGGGAACACAGGCAGTTCTGTGTGTGCTTCTCAGCACCACCCCCTGCATCTCGACCTGCCAGCCCGGCATGTGGTTCACTAGGCCACTCACAAGTTTCTGTATCAAGCTGACAACCAAAACAAGGTACAATTGCCCAGCCTCCCAAAAACCAAGAAGAGGCAACATTTCACAAGGCTTGCTTATATCCAAATTTCTATACTTATGTATTTCACATCCATTATCTAACTTCACTCTCATATCAAATCTAAATAGGAGAGATTATCATCTCCATTTACACAGGAGGAAACTGAGTCTCAGAGAGATTCAGTAACTTCCTCAAGGTCAGAAAATTCAGTCACACTGACCTCATGCCTGTTCTCTTAATCACTGCATGACACCATATCCTACATACATGATTCATATGTTTTTAAAAATGTAATAGCTAAATAAACCTGTATTTTTTATATTTTTGTTTTCTGTATTTTCTAGTTGTATAGGTTTTTGTGTGTGTGTGGTTGTATCTGGTCTCTCAATGAGGTAACCAATCCCAGGCTCCCAGCTAACTAGGAAATAGCAGACTTCTCAGCTCACAAAGAAAAGCTGATCTTTAAAAAGTCTTAAAATATTTGCTAATACAACATGACAACACATATTGATGTAAGAATTATTGTTTACATTAAAAAGTCTCATAAAAAGATGAGTTCTAGACCTAGAAAACAAAATGACTTAAGAAAAAAAAGAGCCACATTTTGATAAATATATAAAACCTCAGGACACAAAATGAGTGTTGAATACATTTCATATTCAGTATCTATATTTGAGTGGTAGTGAAAAATACAAAATTTCCCCAGGCAGACTATTCTAGAATTAATTTTGTATCCGAATATTACAGAATGGAACATATTCTTTTAACAAGCATAATTTTAACTACAATGCCTGTTTGGCATTTAACCACCGAACTGCTTCGAGTCCTGGAGAAATTTTTAGGTATCTATCCACTATTTACTTTAAACTTCATTCTGTGGGATTCAGTTCCTACTAGTCTTTGTGAAGCTTGTGCCAAAGAACATGTTTTCTATAAACAGCAGTAAAAATGTATTCCTATTTTATGCAAATAAATATGCCATCCATCCTTCTGGCTCATTCCATTCCTTATTTGAACTCTCCCTCTCTCTCTCATCCTTCTATTAAGTACAAGATGAAATACGTATTTAATCATGAGGCCACTTAATCAGTAGACAGTACTTTCATGATGTGTTTATGGTATTAAAATATAAAGTCAGGATCACTAAGATCGCTAACACCTTATAGAAACTGGAAAGCTTTTAATTCTGCTGTTCATCACATAAGAATTGTGTTCCAAGTTTTGATAAGCACAAATTGTCCAGATCGCTTTAAATGATTACTGACTTTGCAGAAGACAAAACTTAAGTGCAATAAACAAAGCAGGGTTCACTTCTTGGTGAGAAAGTATGGCAAGATTTTCTTCTGATTTAGAGAGAAAAAAATTGCCAGCTAGTTTTTGATCGGTAAGGTGTTTACTGACATGGTGGTGGAGGAAATTCTTCTACTTATTTTATTTTGGGAACTGCTAAATGAAATGACGAACATAACAGGTTGTGTTCCTGGCTAACATAGGATTTCTTGTGGAGCCCCTAAAATTACGAACAGGGTATACAAACCTACAAGAATACAAAGAAATAAAAATGCAATTCTGTCAAATCATTATCATTACCTTCAATTACAGGATGAATAGAAGCAAAAAAGACAATATGAAAAACACTTAAATGTAAGCTCCTAAGCCCAAATACTGACAGCATCAGCACTAAGTCAGCAGATGTAAATTGTGCTACTCTGGCACCTTGCCTGCCTCAGGGAGTTCAGAGGTCAACTCTGGTTCCCAGGTCTCAAGGTCTCACCTTGGGAGATCTCTACTTTATCACCTGTTTCTTTTGGCCTCATCTAATCCAGTGAATGCCTTTAAATCAAAACTTTATAGAGTGCTGGTATGTCTTCTGTGTATGACAAGATCTAAACAAACATTCTCTAAGCTTTTCTAAACTTGTCCTTCCCTTGGGATACACTAATCACTCCTTTCATCCCTCACATGGCTGATCTGATCTTTTCACATCCAGTGCTGGTAACTATGTCAGACTTTGGTTAGTGCTTAATCCTGAGTCACAGCTAGCTCCAATGAAGAGTGAATGGTGTAAGGCATTAAAGCAATGTGGTGCACCTTTTCCTTCCTTTGTGGTCAGCATATCTCATTGATCAACGGTTTCCTTTGTACACTATGTAATGGTAAAAGGCCTTGTCCAAAAAGAAAAGATCACAATCCTAAACATATATGCACCTAAAACTAGAGCTCTCAAATTTAGAAAACAATTACTAATAGAATTAAGAAATGAGATAGACAGCAACAAATAATAGTGGGGGACGTCAATACCTCACTGACAGCACTAGACAGATCATCAAGACAGAAAGTCAACAAAGAAACAATGGATTTAAAATACACCTTCGAACAAACGGACTTAACAGACATAAACAGAACATTTCATCCAACAACTGCAGAATACACATTCTATTTGACAGCACATGGAACTCTCTCCAGGAAAGACCAAATGATTTAACTCTAAAAGGAATCTTCAAAACCATGCAAATACACAAAAATTAAATAACCTAATGAACGACAATTGGGTCAAAAATGAAATCAAGATA